GAGCCAGAAACGTGATGTGCTGGCTTGGCTGGGAAGCTTATCCTTCAGCGCCACACCAGGGCTCTTTTTTTTGCTAGCGTTCTTATGTTAATTTCCAGAGTGCTGCTGGGGACACTATCACAGAGAGGTAAAGAGTGTGCCTCAAAATGAAGCAGGGGTCCCTGTTTCCTCTCTCTCCTGAGTGTGTTATCTTTGTGCACAGCATGTAGAGCCTCCACGAAGGTGCTTGGATGTATGAGCTCAGTGACTCATGAGTCCCTCATGTCTGGGAACATAGACAACTAATAGATGGTATTTGTTTTCTTCCACAGCACTATATCCAGAACCAGCAAATGTTTTATCGGCAGTATTCCCTCAATTAGCCACCACCTCTGGTATCAGGGAATGGAGGGATAATGGAAATCTAGATATAATTCAAATATTTCAACCAAGTCAGCATTTTCAACCTCCAGAAGGATCTCTTAAGTCTTTTTTTGTACCTAGGCCGAGTGCTCAATAAATATTTGTCGGTTATTTAAAATTACTTTTTTTTCTTTTCAAAAAAGGATTTGAAGCAATTTATTTAAAGAAGGTCTTTCAAATAATTTATCAAAATTGCTAATCAAAACCCAGGCTAGGGCAAAATAACCAAGACATTAGCAACAGTGAATTGAGGCTTAAAGTGCTGGGCACTAAGCCCTTAACAAACTTCCTCTTGTTCAGATCTTTCTTACAAGGACTATATGAGGTAGGTGTTACAAGGACTATATGAGGTAGGTATTAGAAAGGCAAAGAAACAACCAGAAGTTCAATGGCAGGACTCTTGCCTTTCATGTGGAGACCCCAGTTCAATTCCTGACCAATTCACCTTGTAGGCAGCCACCACCTGTCAGTGGAGGTTTGTGAGTTGCTAAAATGCTGACAGGTGTGGTGCTGTGGGTTAATATGCCAGACTGCAAAGCCGTTTGAACTGCAAGGTCGGTGGTTCAAACTCACCAGCTGCTCCTTGGAAACCCCATACAGGGTTGCTATGGGTCAGAACCGACTCAACGGCACTTAACAACAACAAGAAGATAATGCTGAATGGGTTTTAGTAAAGTTTCCAGACTAAGACAAGGAAGAAAAGGCTAGTAATCTAATACAGAAAATCAGTTTGTGAAAATCCTATGGATTACAACCACTCATGGGATGGCGCAGGATTATGTATAATCTGCAGCTGTTACACAACAGAGTCAGACACCGGTAGTCTGACTCCACGGCTGGTTCGCTTTCTGTTTTATTGAATTGGGAAATAAAAAGCCAAAATCACTTCCAGAACCACTAAAACAGTGAAGGAAAGACAGTAGGTCCCAATGTCAACTCACAGACACTGAGACTTTTGTGATGCCAAACTCAGTGGATCGTAGAGCATACAGCCCATCTATTTCTGCAGAACTGACACATTTTTGGGAGAGTTTGCAGTTGCCCAGCTTCACTATCCCAAGAGCCAAGTTCTCAGGACTCTAGGCTCAGCCCACACCAGGGTTCACACAGTCACTCTGTGTGCATGGCCAGGAAGGCTGGCATCAAGCCAGGTTCATAGTGGTCCCACCCTGTCTCCACTTGCTGGCCCACCTCCCATTCCTCATAAAACTTTGCATTTCTCCATGCTGTGTGTCTGTGATCTTCAGGCCGCTCCCAGGAATGCTCTGGATGAAAGTAGAGAGAAAGCATTTCCTAGGTGTCTTTCCTCCTCAGGTTCTTTGGCTTTGGAACATTCCCTGGTGCTGGCAGGATGAAGAACAGGCATCTGCTGTGTGGGATGTCAAGGGAAGGCCGAGCTAGGCCCAGAGCCACGACCAGTGCCAAGAGAGGAACAGAGGACCTGGGAGGAGATAGAACCATGAGCTGGCAGTGCGCTGATGGCTGGGTTGACTGGGGTGCCGTTTCACTTCCATATTCTCCTCTGGCTCCTCCATGGTCCCAGATGAATTACTTTTACTGCAAAAGAGACGACGGTAGCTACAACCTGGCTGCAAACGATAATCCATGTGGGTGTCCAGGCACTCAACAAGCTCAATACAACGAAAGACGAAAGTAACTTTCAAATCATGCCATTTATATTCACTTAATTGGATTTGACAGTTCATCTGAACTTCTGCTCAGTTCTCTGAGGAGCTGTAGAATTTGTACAAATGCTTTCTGTGTTCTCTTTCCTTATCCCAAATGAGAACAGTCAGAAACACACGGAAGCGCACGTGTAAGCAGAGGGGGCAAATGTACACAGGACAACAGTTGTTAATTTTCCTGCTGGCTTTATGGTGACACTCAATTGTTGCCACATAATGGTTAGGATAGGGTCCCTGCAGAGTGTGGACGAGAGGACTGTGTGGGAAGGTGGTGGAAAGGGATGCAGTGAGCCCGAAGGATCCTTTGCTGGTACTGTTGTCTCAGCCCTCCCCGAGCTTCAATCTTGATCTTTATAAACAAAGAGTACAAGGACAACTTTGTGCCAATTAGCAAGACACAGATGCACCCCTTCTTCCCCTGAAGTATGGTTTGATGATTGTAGCAGAGGCTGGATCCCAGACCACCTGCCCCCTTGCCCTTGTGCCTGGGTGTCCTTGTGCATTTGCTGAAGCCCCTAGATTCACCTACCTTCAACAGCCTCAGGGTTAAAAGACCAAGATGGGAGGAATATCCTCTAAGAATTCTCAAGAATTCCTGATGGTCAAACCAGAGTTTCTCACAAGGAGGGCCCAAGATGATGGCCACTTAAGGGTATGCTATTCTGGGCTGCAGGGGTGTCCTGCCCACCTCCCTACATGCACCCTCCTCCTTGCATCCACATTCTGCTTTATTTCCAGGGTGGGGATGCAAATATGGAGGAAAGAGGCGTGGTATGGCACTAATGCACCAACCCTTGCCAGTGCTTGAGTCTCTACCTGGGACCTGCCAGCCTCTTGATCAACTTAACTATTTAGATCTCAATTCATAAGAAGAGCAAGCAGGGATTCTCTGTAACTAAATCCTAACAGAAATGATCCTGACAACCCCTAACTTTTTTCGTTCAGGAAAACAGAGAGGGAAAAGGGTATGGTCCTCTCCTGAATGCCAGAGCCGCTCAGCTGAAAGGTGTCACTGGTTAACCTGACAGCTCAGAGACCAAGGCTGGATGGACGTCATTTCTCAAGTTTGTTTCAGAACTGCAGTTCACCAGCTACCAAGCTGGATTCTTTGCTCTGGGAGTTTAATGTGTGACAGCTGTGTTCAGCCAGTGGTGTCCAGCATTTTAAAAAGGTCAATTAGGAAACGGGTGATAGTGGTACAGCTAATGACAGCCCAGAGGGTGAGCAGGGTCGAGTACACAGAAGGTCCAAGATGTGTATTACTGGAATTGAAGGGTTGGAGCGATGCATGGAGGGGAGGAAATCTATTGTCACAAGCCATAAAGTACATCTGAGTTGTGTAGCATGGAGTGGACAGCTGTGTTCCTCCCCAGGCAGGGTGGGAAGGCTTCTAAAAGGGGAGGGGCTCGGCTGATGAAGCAGATACCTGCATCAGCACGATCAACCTGCAGACAAAAATTGTTACCCACCTTGCTGCTTGTTCCTTTGCACTTTTCCCTGTCCCATTTGGGAAGCAGGAGGCAGATGATATTCACAATGCGGGTCATGTTCTAGAAATCCATATTTTAAGCATTCCACCGAAGCTGTGCTCTGTGTGTGGGTGGGTAGACAACCGGGAACCTGAGAACCAACCCAAGCAAAAGGCTCTGCTGGGAAGACACACCAGCAGCGCCCTGGCTTCAGTGGACACATGGTGCATGGTCGGGATCAGAACTTTACATAGTGATCAATACAAGAAGGACATGGGACCCTCAGAAAAAGTCTATTTCAGTCTGTGACAGAATTGGCTCATGGTTAGGCACTGTGTGGGCCTCCTTTTTTCCTGAAAATCAGACAAAGGAGTCTCAGAGTAAGAGTGTGGCTGCAGGATAGGATATTTTTTTTTCCTTTGCCACATCTACCTGTCAAGCCAGAAATTCAATAGAGCAATGGGAATGCTAATTGATATGCAAAACAGGTCCAGAGTTCCTAGAAATGTCTAATGATCCTCGAGTTCATTACGAATGCAGAATTAAGACATGTACGAAATGAGATGGGGGTAAGAGCACCAACCTTTTTGCACTTTTTTTTTTCTCTTTCGGTTTCAAAGCTACTTTGAGAAACTTTGCCAGGTCTTATGATAAAAAAGAAAGCATTGCAATCAGTAGGGTTTGTCTTTCACACACTGTATATTTATTATTAGAAAATAGCTTCTATCAGCTGTCAGTACTAAACAAGTTGACAGGAGCAGCGTGCTTCTCACATAATTTCCCTCTCTTTAACGGTATTTAAATAAACAGCTCACTGTGTGGAGAGGTGCCACGCCTTTCCCCCCCCCTTTAAAAATGGAATAACTAAATGAGGTTTAGTACAAAACATCCTTCCAGTCTGACTTGCTGTCTCTGTGAGGAGAGACATGAAAGAGATGGAAAAAAGACCACTCAAGCTATCAAATTGCCCCAAAGAAAAAACAGTAGAAACCAGGAAACAAATAAACTAGCCCAAACAAAACTCATCCAAACCAAGAAACCAGTTTTTACATTGGCTTTTTGATTTTCTTTATCATCTAAGTTTAATATATATATATATATATATATTTGAAATTGTAATAAAAAAGGAAGAATTGCATCCTTAGCAGGACCACCTTCCTCATATGTTAAAGAGGTGTTCAGAAAATTCCATACAGTATCTGCTAAATAAACATGTTTGGCAGCTTAGCAAATATCATATGATTGCAGCATCCATGATTTGAAGGAAAACAGCTTTTGCTTTCTTCTGGCAGAGTTTGTTGCTCGGGGCAAGGTACTAACACGGCTCTGGCAGTTCTTAGACCCACAAGCTTAAAGAAGAGTTGAGGTGTGGCTCAGTGCATGGCCCCAGTGAGGAAACTTCCAGACCCCAAACAGATAATCAACCAACCACCCCACGCAAGCATCAAACAATTGTCTCCTTTGAGTTCCTCTTGACCGAATGGAGGCCCAGCAAGGACTGTTGGTTAGAAGGTACGTTGACAGACTTTGGAATGAGGAGAATCACCCTCTGATTGGTCCGACGCCACTCATTGTACAATCGACAGTGGTACCTAAATGACACCTGGGTGGGAGAGGAAAAGTAAGGGAAGATTTCAGTTAAGCACAAGTTGATCATCAATCCAAAAAATAAATGGAATCATTTTAAATATCTGTTGGCAGCACAGCAGAGGACAAGACCCCCAGGCAGGAACTGCACCAGTAAGGAGCTGCATGCTGGGGCACTAACCAAAGAGCACTCATGTGTGTTCAGGGACAGGGATCACAAGATGATGTCTTTTGTTTCTCCTCAAACTGTGTAAAATCATGGTATCAATAGGAAGATAAGGTTCTTTCTAAGTTCGGATGTAGTTTCAAGCTCGTAGCACATCAGGCCTCACTGCATCGGTTGTCAAGTTAGAGAGTGGTGAAAAGGCACTAGGCACCCAGCGGTGCGCCTTTCTGGTCCCCAGGTCCCCTCTGTAAAATGAGGATTTGTATACACTCCTACACTGCACAACTCAGGGGACACCATTCACAAAGAACAGCATATGAAGGGCACCCTGACTTTGTCAAGGACAAGTTGGACAATTGCTCTTGATGGCCTGATTAATTGTCTCTAGCTCCAGAACTCTATGGCTTCCAGCGAGAAGATTTAGCTTGGGCACGGTTGTAGGTTGAACTGCGTGCCCAAAAAAGATATATATATTCAAGTCCTAACCTTCAGTACCTGTGAATGTGATCTCATTTGGAAATAGGGTCTTTATAGATATAATCTAGGTAAGATCAGGTCATACTGGCCATGTGAAGACTGATAGAGGTGAACACCATGCAAAGGTGGAAGCAGAGACTGGAATTAGGCATTTGCAAGCCAAGGGACACCAAAAATTGCTGGTAACCACCAGAAGCTAGGACACATGCGAAGATGGAGGCAGAGACTGGAGTTATGGAGTCAAAGGCAAGGGATGCCAAAAATCACTGGCAACCACCATAAGCTAGGAAGAGGAGAGGAAGGATCCTCCCCAAGAGCCTTCAGTGAGAGCACAGCCCTGCTGATACCTAGATTTTGGACTGTGCAGTGGCTCCAAACGATAAGCACTGGGCTGTGAACTACAAAGTCAGCAGCTTGAGCCCACCACCACTCTGTGGAAGAAAGATGAGACTTTCTGGTCCCACAAAGGTTTACTACCTTGGAAACCATATACAGGGTTGCTATGAGTTGGAAACAACTTGCCAACACTTAACAACATGTTTCCAAGGCTGTGAGAACTTAACATTTCTGTTCTTTGAAGGCACTCAGTTTGTGTTGCTATGCTACAGCAGTCCTAGAAACATAACACAGGCTCTTCTGGAGTTGCACGCAGGGATAGGTAGTATCACTTCAAAGAACATCCTCAGCACCTTGTGCCTGTCTCAGCATGGCATCAGGCGCACTGGATGTGAGTGTACTTGTTTCTTTCTTCACTTACACAAGAAGCGTCTTGAGAGCAGGGTCTGTGCTGCATTCATCTTGGTATGCCTGGCACTGATCACAGTACCTGACACTTAGTAAGTTGCTCAATAGTTTGCCAAGTGAATAAATATCCTACCCATTCAGGTTGTAACACTGCTTTAAGTGGAAGACACCCCTATAAATATACACGATGGTATGAGCAGTAAACACCATGAGCAACTGTGATACAACTATGCCCCCAATGTGTTTGTTTCTTCATTGTTGTTGTTGTTGTTAAGTGCCATCTAGTAGGCTGTGACCCTATATAAGGTTTCCAAGGAGCAGCTGGTGAGCTTGAATCACCAACCTTGAGGTTCAAACTGGCTTTATTTACAATGTAGTGCATTAACCCACAATGCCACACCAGGGCGCATACAGGGAACAAAATAATGAAAACTTCACAGATGTTACCAAACACCTTGAGGCAATGAGTTGCTGGGCCTGGGGGCTCAGGACTATATTCTCAGAAGACACCATGATCTACTGACAGAACAGTTCATCAAGACAATGTTCTACAACCTTCTTTGGTGAGTAGTGACTAGGATTTTAAAAACTCATGGTTTCTCCACATGCAGAAGAAAGAAAAGTGATGAAAACTGAAGATACTTGGAATCAATAAGTCCACTGGATTCATGGAACATGTGAACATCAGTCTCCCAAACTCTGAGACCAGAAGAACTAGATGGTTCCTGGCTATTAGAAGGTCCCAGATATAGAGGGGGAGACAGTGTGGAACAAAACTCAAAACTATAAAAAAGACCAGGCGTTATTGGTCAGAAAAAGACTGGAGGAACCTGATACTACAACCCTTGGCCACTCTTCAGGTCTAGAATGAAATGCACCCTTGTAGCCCAATTTTTATCCATAGATATATTGGGGTGACAATATGCTCACCATGGAATTGCCAACCATTCAAGATCAAAAGGACAATATTACCTAAAGACAAAGTTCAGAAGAGTTGGGAAGGAAGGTGGAATGGGATAACTGTTGTTACAAGAAGGTAATTGCAAGCAATGAGATGAAACAAAGTGCATGATTTGTTGAATGTGAAACTATTGATCTGCTCTGTAAGCCAGTGTTCAAGTCACAATACAAAAGTAAAAAAAAAAAAAGGTTTTGCTTCTCATTTAAATATATTGGATTGAGAAATTTAAATCTGTGGTTGGTTTTGGAGAACAGCTGACATGAGGTATTGATGGGCTACCCAGACAGTTAGAATTTGTACTTTTGAAGCTGAAGAAAATGGCCTTTAAAAATGGGTGCAGGTTTTATTTGTGTGCATGCAGATGACCACATAAGTCCTGGGAAGGCAGGTGCCCATGAGTTTAGAGTGGCACATTAACCAGTTTCTAAGCTGTTTTATTGTCTGGGAATGGGGGTGTGTTGTGTTGACACCATTTAGGGTCCAGAGTGGTCAGAAATTTGGCTGACCTGATAGTTTGAGCTCATTTCTAGAAGTGAAAGAGACTATATGGGTCCTTGATCCGAAGAGGTTGTTAGTTAGTCTCATGGTAAGATCATGAAATTCAAGGCCACTTGCTTAAATTTCCACAGCTAGAAAGCAGATAAAGCAGATGCCATAGGCTGAGTGCCAGAGAGATTTGGGTATGAAAATACAAACTTTTAAACTCACAACTCACACAGATGCGCTTTTTTTTTTTTTTTTTCAAAAGGCCTCAAACATACCAAAGTGGATTTTTAAAAACTAGATTCTCTTATATCTGTTCTGTCCTGCTGCCACTTGGTACTATTCATGAGTGTAAGAGAGACAAGTTGGAAAGCCAGCTGTTCAGGGCCAAGAGCAGTAAAGAGGTAGGTCACAGACAAGTGCTAATGAAGAGCTTTGGCAAGACAAGAAATCTGGGATTTGGAAATTTTACAGGAAAGCTGAATTTCAAATCAAGAGTCCCTTTGTCCAGGATGTTAAAAAGCTGTGTGCACTTGGCATTAGTAAGCAGAGAAAGTAGCTGCCAGCAGAGGGGGGAAGAAACACCTTCCTCTACAGAGTAGAGAGCAGGTCACAGCTCCACAGCCAGGCACACCTGGGGGGCTATCTGCCATGTCCCAGCTTCACTCTCCACGTTCATAAAATGTGAATACAATATTTGAGATTATTCATGAAAAGCACTCGGCACAGTGCCTGCCATACATGTGAGTTTTCTCGGCATCTTATTTTTCATGTATTTAAGTATGGAAAAAATGTGATGGTTTTGTGGTACCCCTTTCTTAGCTATGCGGAAACTGGGGGAGAGGTGGGGAAGAGGTTGGGCTATTTCCTTCTAGGCGTCACTAAGTAGTGTGGTCCAGGGACAGGAGCAGCTCTGACCACCTGGGAGCTTGTTAGAATTTCAGAATTTGGGGAACCCACCCTGGACCTATGGAATGAGAGTCTGCATTTTAACAAGATCCCCAGGTGATTCGCAGGCACATTCAGGCTGGAGAAGCAGTGCCTTAAGGAACACAGGGAGTCAATGATTTAGTTCCTTGGCCCAGGAATAATAATAATAAAAAAACCCAGCCTACTTAGTTAGCCCAATGAATGAGATCCTATTATGCATTAATCTATTTTAATTGCTGCTAACCACTCACAGACTGCAGGCAGATTCAATCAATAAGAAGAAAGCATTATCCGAAGATGACTCCTTACCCGAGAAAACTACGGGAGTTGAGCGCAATTGAAGGTTGGCAGTTCATGTGGGTTAGATACCCTAGGACACTCATTCCCTCCACCCAAAAGAAGCTACAGCAACAGAAATGCTGGGAACATTCTTTGGTCTGGTGGTGGGAGGAGGAAGCAAAGGTCCAGAGCCACTATTCTAGATAAATTATGAATTAAGGGGGGGTGGTGGTGGTGGTTACGTGCCGTGGAGTGGGTTCCAACTCATAGCGACCCTGCACAGGGTTTCCGAGGCTGTAA